TTTTTTTTTGTATAAAGCAGGAATCTCACCTTCACAAAAGAATGCAAGAATTTAGTATTTATTAGCGAGTCATTTCGGAAATTAAAGTGGAAATTGCAGAAAATGAGTAACAGAAAGATGTTTCCTCAGACCACCTGGAATAAAGTAGGTATTCTCTTCGTATTTTGTCAGCGCAGAACCTATGCCAATATTTTATAGTCTTCTCTGTGATCTCATCTATCCTAAGCCTTCCGTTGCTTGACTGCGAAATGTATTCACGTGCTTGTTATTACAAATGCGATATATTTTATTGTAGTTCGGTTTCTGATAAGATGATCACAGAGGCGGATTGTCACATTTGCAAAAAAGGTCCCTATCTCCGCAAGCATTTGTATGCTCACTTATGTGAGGTACATGCTTGCTCTGAAAAAGTGATCGAGATGTGAAAAATGCAGTGAAGAGAGCAAAAAATCATGGAAAAGAAAAAATGAAGTGTGTGCCGGAATACCTACTTCACTCCAGATGGTCTGAGGAAACATCTTTTTGTTAATCATTTTCTGCAATTTCTACTTTATTTCCTAAATGACTCGTTAATCAATATTAGTTTCTTGCATTCTTTTGTGAATACAGGTGAGACTCCTATTTTATACAAAAAAGGATCAATGCACCTGTAAATAAGCAGCCCTAGTTGCCCCACCGGCGTTATATTGCGATCCGGCCGTTGGCTGGGGTGCCGTTTACCGGACCTCGTAGCGACGCCTTTAAAGGCTTACTGCTACAAATTAATAAGCGTGCTCTATGGCTGACAGATCGTGCTTGGTTAGGAACTAGCAGAAATGAATCTTAAGTAGGCGCTCCGCCATACCTCGAAAATATAACTGTCATTGTAAGAAGCTGAAGAACACTCAACAACGATAAGATCCCACTATTTTGCAGAACAGGTATTCCCCAGATTGCGCGTAAAACAAATGATTTGCTGAGTTGAAAGTAAAGGGTATAGTGGAAGTGTTGGAAAGCTTTAAATATTGCTCGTGATGGAAATCTATGAAAACTCGTTTCCTTCGGGTCCTTGCGCTCCACTGCCTATCTGCGCTCTGCGTTGCTCCTTCGCGCCCGAGAGAATCAGCCTGGGAATCAATTACGTTGAGTGTTTTTTCTCTTGTTTAAAGATAAAATAATCGAATTCAGCGACTTTGTTCCGAAGTAACTTTTCTATAGCCTATTTTACCACTAGATGCAATTTCATTCCTAGCAACTGATTGAATTTTTTGCTTATCAATATGTTAGTAAAACTTTTCAGGACTTGGGTCGTGTTACTTGCCTAAACAGAACATGGGTAAGTCCCAGTGAAGGATACTAATACATTGCTTTTAAGTTTTCTTACACAAACTTCTTGTTTTGTCTGCCAGTTTACGAAGCCCCACTGGACGCACTAGCCCTTGAGGCTGAGGGCTGAATTTAGACTTTATCTTTTTCTATCAGATTTGCTAAACTATATCTCTACTTAGCGTTTTCTAACTATCTAATCGGAAGTTTCTCAAGTATAGGCATCTCATTGCATCATAGAAGTTTGATACTGCTGTACTAGTTATTTCTATCTAGATGTGTGAATATAACTGCTCATAGGCGTTCCATCCAGTTGCAATGTTTTTGTTTATTAGGCTAAACTACTCGACTATAAATTGATATACTAATTTGGCGCAAAAATTTTAGAAGCTACTTAAACAAACACAAAGTATAATTAGAGTAGTGTTAGTTATTTGCCAGGTACTGTAACGTCCAGGGTTTGAGCCTTAACAGTCAAGAAACAAAAATTTTCGGTAGCATACATATCCATACATCCTACGCTTCGAGCCAAATTTATAGAGTAAATGGCCATTCATGTCTACTCAACAATGCAATACCTGCGTAAAACTTTTTGAAGATTGAATTTAGTGGATGTACCAAGAAACTTTCGTCTTCTCGAAGAATTGGAAGACGGCCAGAAAGGGAAAGGTGATGGAAACATCTCTTGGGGACTCGAAGATGACACGGATATGACACTCACGAGATGGACGGGTACCATTATTGGACCTCCTAGGGTGTGTTATAATCATATAATTTCTTTGTCTTAGTGAGCTACATCTGTCAAAACTTCTTTGACACTCTCATTGCAGACTCCATATGAGTCGCGAATCTATAATTTGCACGTGGAATGTGGTCCTAATTATCCAAAAGAACCTCCTAGCGTTAGATTCACCACGAAAATTCATATGAATGGAGTGAACCAAACAACTGGTGTTGTACGTTTTTAGCAGTTTACTGTCAGCTTACTTCATTGCGAAAAATCCAGTATTTCAGATCGACAAGAGAAATTTGAGTACACTGCGTTCTTGGAATGGAAGTTTCATGATAAAATCCGTGTTGGAGGATATTCGAAAGAACATGATGTGCGCAAAGGAGAATATGAAGCTTCCTCAGCCTGCTGAAGGAGCAACTTTCTAGATTCTTAAGGTTAGCGTGAAATATATTTTTCAACCGCAGATTCAATTTAGTTGTACAAATACAGATTTTGGGAGTCACTCCTTCCTCTGCCATTGTAACGTACGTCTTGAAAACTTCCGGGCCACCTAATTTTCGGTTCCATTCAATATCTATTTTGCATTCTTTCACTCGTATCGTTTGTTTTCGTTTAAGAGGATTCGCAACTCTTAGAATTCTCTACAATTTTGATTTGTACTTCTGCGATGAGAGCAGGAACTGGGCTGCTTTGTTGCTCTCGAATTTGTATAAGATTGCGCGTGTCTTCTTTGTCGGTTTTTAATTTCATTATTCAAGCATATATGTAGGTAGAAATTGTCTATCAATGCGTTTCTTAGCCTTTCCCGTTGACAGAGCATTAAAATCCCACACCTTTGTTCTAATCTTAATTTCGGTCGGTGTATTAAAGTGTAGTAAACCATCATTTTAATAAAATATTTGATTCATCACCTGACTGTTTATATCGTGTAAAATTGCACGAAGAAATATATCCCAAGTGCGATTGCTGCCATACTTTATACTTCATACAAAGCAAACATACTTTAGTGATAACGATTTGTCTAGGTCAATGTTGAAATGAGTTTAGTGCCCTCAAAGTTGGCATCCACTAGCAAAGCAGATG